ATCTTAGTCTGCATACCATGCTTAATATACATTTTTCGTGTAATGGCGCCAAAGTTAGTTGTTAGTTTCTAGGGTAGGTGGAGCTGCCGTTGATTTCAGGCTCAGGGATTATAACCCGAGTCATAAGTATCGTAGCAGCGAAAGCCAGTGAACTAGATGACAAGCAAGTCGGGCTTATGGTGAGATTTTAAATTATGCAATCATTTATTGTCGTTGTAATCGACAACGTTGCTTATTTATGTTACAAGTGGATTTTGAGACTCTCATTAATTAGTTAATATGGACTTAGTAAATCTGGGTCGTTTAAAGTAATATAAGGACTGGTAAATAATTGTCAGAAAAGTAAACTCTCATTCCTTAATCACCTTAAATGATCTAGCTTATTTGTTGGTCACGAAATCTAGTTAAATCGAAAACAGTCTATTTTCACATTAAATTTTTCCACGATTATACTTAAGATATATTTTCCGTATGACGGTGCACAACTGATTGGTTTGTTGCCTAGGTAACGGATGACAGAGTTGTTGTCAAGCCCATTAGCCGGTGTCTCAGAAACCGTGTCGGCAATCTGAGGCCTGCCTTTCGTTGGGAGGGGCCGGCAAGGGACCAGACTTTAGGCCTTAGGGGCATCACCAGGCCTCGTCTACCTTGATTAGCTCGAGTCGGGTCTGCGTGGCCAGCACATAATTGGGATGAACTCGACGCACCGGACATCCGTTCAGTCGGTACGGCCCGGTGACCACGAGGAGACCGGTGGCCGCTTGTCGGCCGAGCAGGACGACACGTTTTCCTCGATGCCTGCCCGCCAGCAGAATCAACACTCGACCGGTCGCCCGAAGAAGTTGGCGTACAGGCCAGGCCGGCTTATGACAATGTGGAGTAACCGCTCGTCGAGAGATAGATGGTGAGAAGGTTGCTCCTGAAGCGGACGGAATATGAGTTGTAGCGGTTCCACGAGCCAAGAGACGATTGGTGGCTCGACGACAACCGTCACGGGAATGCTGGCATCTCCTTCTTCCGGGCTGATGAAATGTGTGCAAAATGTTTGAAAACGCAATTTTATTAATATTATATCATATCTGACAGATATAGATAGATATCTGAATAAATGAACCCACAATCTTGAGTAAGAATGGAACAGCAGATAGCTAGATAGTTATATAAATAGGTGAATAGCTAGATTACTTTGATATGTAAATTGATAGATAAATTGATGGATGGCTGAATGGATAGATAGGCGTAGATAGGTATTTCTATAAAATAATGTGTATATAGAGATAGACAGAAGGATAGAGAGAGAGAGAGTTAGTTGGGCAGGTAGGTAGATCAATCTCGAAGGTGAGCCTCAAATCTATTGGTCACTTAGTAAGGCTCATTCAAAGCCTATTCGAAGTTGGGGTCCCGTTAGTGGAAAATTTTGGTGCCTTCTATGGCCATGCTCAAATGAATGAGCCATTGGGCATGACGACTAATGACTTCGCCTGGACATCTGCGTTTTTCGGCGTACGTATGGCCGTAATTATGTATGTAAATGTTTGCATTTACATACAAACATTGGTTTAATAAAAGGAGGGTGATTTAATACGGATATGAAAATATCTATAAAAGAGAGAACATATGAAGAGTATAAGTGTTCGTCCCTCATGAAGAATGGATCAAAGATTTCTTATTTAGGCAGTAAATTTTCATTTGTCTCAAAAAACAATGATCAGATTGAGAAAAGAAGCGAAAATAAAATGAAATATGGGGAATATAAAACGATATTAGAAGAGAGGGAATACTAGACATAAGAAGCGACGATAGACGGAAATAAGTGAAAAGGAAAGAAATTCCAAAAATAGGAAAGAGAAGAACAGAAAAAGAAACAAAAAATGAAATACGAAGAAGAGTAAAAGTAATTAAAGTATAAAGACGAAAATAGAAGGGCCGTGGAGAGGGAAGTAGAAAAGAAGTAAAAGAGGATAAAAGCAGAGAATGAAAAAGAAAAAAAATAAAAGAGTAAAAAGGAAGAAAGCAACAGCAAAGTTAATATAAGAAAAGATACTAAAAGAAGTTAAAAAAGGAAGAATACAAGAAAAGGGGGCGAAATGTAGAAATTAAAGGAAGAGTAAAAAGGATATAACAAATCAAAAGAGACAAGAGCAGAGAAAAAATCAACGGGGCCCGAAGAGTGATCAGAGCATAATATATTGGTAAAAACGTGAACTCAGATTGCGAATCGAACAAACCTAATCTAAAAGGTAATGAAAAGATATTGAATGAATTATTAAAAAAAAGCGATTAGCAAGAACAGAAAAAAAATATGAAGAAAAATGTAGATAAAAGTGAAAAGAAGGAAATAGCAATGTAATAACAGTACAGGACAAAATCTAGAAACAGTAAATTTTGTCTTTCTATAAAGTTCTTTCAATTGTTTAAAGAAATCGAAATAAAACGTAAATTAAGAAAACTAATTGAAGGTATGAAGATCAATATGGTGTGGTCTTTTGTGTGGTCGCAGTCTCCTTTCGTTGTATAGAAGTTGTTTGACCTTGTTTTCGCAACTTGGTCATCATCACCATTTCCAGAATGGCGAGACTCACTGACGATGCCGGCGAAACGTCTGAGAATGTATCACGTCCACAGTCCAACTCTGGAAATAAACATGCATCCAATGGACAGTGGGCAAGATGCCTTCCTAAAAGTCTTCCTTCTAACATGCCCAAGTTGCGAAAAAAAGGTCAAATTACTTCTATAATTCTTTAATTTGCTCAAACTATTTAAGTAGTTTTAACGGTAAACTTTGATGCCATCTTGAATAACTGGATCTAGAACCATTTCCTACAGCTTTATCAGTTTTATATTATTTACCTGAACTTCGAATGATCGCGGAAAACGTCCCTCTTCTTGGCTTAATAGACGCCTCACTTCCTTCCTTTTCATTCTCTTAATTTTGTGCTCCTTTACTACTCTTTCATTCGGCATTTTGGGGATTTCTTGTGTTTCTAAACCGGCTGAAAGTTCCTCCAATCTCTTTTTAGCTTGCTCTTGTCTACTGTCACCTATCGAAGGTTCAATTGGCTGTGCTCTCTCTTTCACCTTCATTTCTGACGATCCTTGTCCTGTCTTTGATAATTCCTGTTGTTGCTGTGTTGGCCTCATCCTCTCCACTCCTTTGTAAGGCTTTGCCTCGGAACTGTTTTTGACACTACTCCCGGTTGCAGAAGTAGCCATAGCAGCAGGAAACTCTGGATGCTGACTGCTGCCTGTTATTTCTCTTTTTACTGATTCTACTGCCGGCCCCTTATTCATGTCCTCTTGCTCGGTTCTTTCTAATCCTTTTTGCTTCCTCTTTTTGCCTTGTCTCACCCGCTCTATCAGCTTGACGGCTATGCTTGTCATGGCAACAGATTCTGCCGATGCTTCCGAGATTTGCACACTTTTGCCACTGGATCCGGAGGGCATATGGGCCTGAGATGAATGAATCAGAAGTGGTTCTATCTTCTTCTCATCTATCGCTTGTGATTTATTTTGCTCTGGCCTAGATACTGCAGATACCACTGGCCTAGTGACAGAGAGAGAAAATGAGAGGAAAACATACACTTTATTTTCAGCTTCAAAAAGGTAAATTGATCTTATGCTTGAGCTAGACTCTCACACCCTCACTAAACTCAAGTGTGTGGCTGAGGTCTATGCTCGAATCCAAGACTACCAAGTCATATAAGTTAGCCCGAAATCGATGTATCTAGTCATATTTCCTTGTTTATTTCCTTCGAGAGGGCATCTCTCTGCCAGGCAGAGAGTAATTGGCATCCGGTTAACTACAGTACGGGTGCAGGCTCCAATGCGAAGCAGTCCAATCATTTCGCCAGCACCATATTTACAC